GACCGTGAGTACCTTTATTTTAAATGCTTTATAAAATTATATCCTACTAGGCCTTTCGCTCACCTTTCTTGTTTTCAAATGTATTAAACCCGTCCAAGCGACGCGAGGAGTAGTGCGGAGTAGGTAGCTACTACCGGTGACGTGGACTTAACCTCGGAAAGTGAAGAGTTATCTTTCCTCTTATCTTTTATTTTAAGGCATGTATAAAAGATCATGGATTGTAAACTTAAATATTACTAGACTGTGGTTGATGTCACATTTACTCTTGTTTATATTCATGTATGCTAAACACCTGTGGGAATTCCTGACATGATACCAGGGACATGGTTTTAAATTGGTTTGGTTGGAAATTCCACCACCATTCTTGAAATTGAATTCCTCTTGAATGAAAAGGGGGCTCGTTTGGAAATACCTAGACGTTTTAGATTTGAAAGAAATTAAATTATTATGCTAATCACTCTCTCAAACAAGTTTAAGTTTCTAAACGAGCCTCCACGTCACTAACCCCGGTTTGGGGGCGTGACAGGACTTGGTATCAGAGCCCTTGGTTTAGAACCTTAGGGTTTGGAATTATGCAAACATGAATGACATCAGGAAACCACTAAAACAGTCTAGCTTTCTTTTTAGATAAAAGAATGCCGCCGCGCTGTAGAAATCCTAACCCGCCGGCGATGCCGAATGAGCAATTCATGGAAGCCATGTACGCCACCTTCCAGGGGATGGCTACTAGAGTCCAAAATGAACGTCCCGCGGAGGACATAAAACAGAACTACTTCCGTGAGTACATGCGTAGTTCAATTCCTGCATTCACTAGCGCAGGTGGACCCGAGGAAGCTGAGTATTGGTTCGAATCGGTGTCTAAGCATCTAAGTACCATGGGAGTACCGGATGAGTATTGGGTGGAGTTCGCAGCTTTTAAGTTTGAAGGTCCTGTAGGTGCGTGGTGGAAGCATATCTGGCGAATGCAAGATGTAGAGGGGATGACTTGGGAACAATTCGAAGCTCTCTTTAATGAGCAATTCTTTCCCCAAAGTTATCGAGATGAAAAGGCCATGGAATTCATGGGCCTACAACAAGGGGAAATGACAGTGAGGGAATACGAGGCTAGGTTCAATGAACTGTCCCGTTTTGCTCCCTCCTTGATTGAATCGGAGCGCATGAAGTGCTTAAAGTTTGAGAAAGGTCTTAAAGGTGTAATCCGAAAATCAGTGGTAGCTTTAAGGCATTGAGTTTACAGTGACCTGGTTGCAGCAGCCATCTCTGTTGAACAAGAGCACATCACCTTCCTCCAGGATCGAGCAGTTTCAGGGAAAACTTCAGGAGGACCTCAAAGGAATAACAAAAAAAGCCGTGATCAAGGGCAAGGTAGTGGGGGAGTGCCTAGTGGTAGCAGTGGCTCTTCGGGAAGTGGGAAGAGTGGACCCTATAGCTTCAAGTGCCACCATTGTGGGGAGCTAAGGCATATCAAGAGGAACTGTCCTATCAAGGGCCAACTGGTGAACCAACAGACCCAGCAATTACCGTAGAGTCAACGGGGTATTGCTCCTAGTCAAGATAGACTTCCACAGTTCACGTCTTTCTATCAACCCCAGTTGCCTGCACAGATGCCAATTCCTCCTGCACCGATCTTCCGTCCGCCGAACTACTCTTATTTTCGACCACGGGCTTCTGTATCAGTACATTCTACCCCACCGCAACAACAGTACAGACCTGGAAACCAGAGACCTAACAACAATGAGAGAGGAAAAGGAAAAGCACCGGGGCAGATGCATACCATGGCCGGGGGAAGTTCTGGAGCTCATGCCGGAAACCCAGTCGTTGAGGGTATGGTACCTATCTCACATTCTTTTACACGAGTTTTGTTCGACACTGGTGCTACACACTCTTTTGTTTCCACCGTGTCATGTTCGGCCTCAAATTTTTTGTGTCATGTCATCGTGTTCGATGGACAGCCTGACCCAATTACCATCTCGAGATGAACTTAAATATCATATGCGTGCTGTCATTAAGTATGAACTTTTTCCTGGTAATAACATATATAGGAGAGTTGAATCCCAAGAAGACCAACACTTCTGCAATTTCTATGTACCTATATTTATAGGAGAGTTTAATCTATAATCTATTCCATATAGAAGCATTCTAAATGTTTTTTACTTCAACTCCTAGCTTGCTAGAATGAAAGTATTTTTTTTTTTTTTGCCTTTTTTTTCCGTTTAAAATTGTCTTTTTAGCTTCTTTTTTTTTCTTTTCATTTTCTTTAATTGTATTTAATGGAATGTAGTAAATAGCTGATGTTTGAAACTAAATTAAGTAAATAGCAGATTTTAAAAACTATTTGAAATAAATAGCAGTTTAGTGGTAAATGAATCAAAAATGGTTTATTTACGGCTAGTAAAACCATTTTTTCACATAAATTTTCTATTTACGACTGGTAAAAGAATTTTTTTATCTAAATAAAGATTTTTTAAAACTTTTTAACCACATAAGTTATTTTTACTAGTGGTAAATGAATCATTTACTTAAATGATTCATTTACCACGTAAACTGCTATTTACTTAAAAAATTATTTTAAATTATGCTATTTAATAAATTTAGTTTCAAAAATTAGCTATTTACTACAATTTCTCATTGCATTTTAAATGTTGTTTGTTTCTTCTTCTTTTTTAAATCTTGTAATTTTCATTGTTTTTCATTTCATATATTTTTTTCTTTAATTTCTTCTTGAAACACCTAACTTATTTTCTTTCTTTTTTTACTTTCATATATATATATATATATGTATATATATATTCATTTGTGAATCTCTATTCTATTTACTATATATATCTATACTTAAACTATAGAAGATGTGGACCCCGTTTAATTTATTAGTTCAAATCACAACTCAAGTTTTTGCTACAGTATTTTCTTACATACAAAGTCAAATTCAACTTTAAGTCCTACATCATTTTCGCTAACATAAATTTACTTTTTAAGTTGAATTGAAAGCTCGAATCAACGAAAAGAACAAGAACATTTATATATTTTCAATTTTTTTCAATCATCATTATGCATAATATGTAATTATTGATTTTCATAGAACTATAATTTTATTTAGGTTAAAATTTAAAACTTCTTAATAATTTTACATTGTTGTTGTAAAAAACAAAAAATTCTGAATAAATTTTTTTAGTTTGAAAAATAATTATAAATTGGCTATATTTATTTATATTTATTGTTATAAAGCAATGTTGGCATCCCTTAGAAAAACGTTGTTAGCATGTCCTGTTCTAGTTTGACTTATAAAAAAAAATAAGTCGAATTATAAGCATATATATTTATTTATTTATTCTTAAAAAACAATTAAAAAAGCATGCTTACATTGAAACATTTTAAATAATTTTTAAATGAGACAAAGGTTTAAAATGTGCCTAAGGCACGTCCTTCAAGCTAGTCTATATAAGAAGTGAGAATGGTCTCCAAAAAATTTTGGTCTTACTTGCTAGCTAGCTTGGTTTTTATTTTTTTTAATGAAATGAGCTACCCTGGTTTTTAGATTTTTTTTTAGCTTTCGTTTTTAATCTTTTACTTTCAAATTATTTTTCTTCTAATAGAAGGGAATGGAAAATGCTACTACTTTTAAATGGGACTCAGAATAACTCGAACCCTGAATTTAAGGCTGGAGTGAAAGGACTTACAACCTTTTAAAATAATTTTGTTCTCAGATAGGACCATAAAAAAATACTTTTATAACTATTTGCCCTCTGAAATAATTTTCCTCAAAGTTTCCTAAATTTTGTGTTCTTATCACACCACTAAAAATTAATCTAATGGCTCAATAATTTCTACCGCAAAGTTCGCATAAACTTTTTGCAAAAGACAAACATATAAGATAACAATATTTTTATCACTACCGCAAAAGACGTGCCTTAGGCACATAAAAGGATAATGATGGTTGCACTTTTTGTTACGTATACATGCTTGCATGTTTTTCACGTTGATTATTTGTTTTTCCTTTTTCTCTTTTTTTTTCTTCCCTAATTTTGTATATAAACTTTTCTCAAAAATGACTTTATTTATTTTTCAGTCATTACTTTAAAAAAAAAAATTTCATTTTTCAAATATGTATAATTTATGACAACCTTAAACATGTGTATAATTGAAAGGGATATGTAAATTCTCAGTTAAGGAAACAATGTAAACTTTCACGTACAGTAGAAAGAAATCTTATGTAGCTAGAGTCAACCCTTGTGGCCGGTTCTAGGTTATCTCTCCCTTTTTTCTCTTCCTTCACTTTTTTCCTTTTTATCTCAAACTTCGGTATTCTTCTTAATAGAGAGGAAGATTAGTAGGGTTTCTTTTCTTTTCATCTATATATTTGTGATTCTAATTTTTATTTTATTTTAAATTATAATATATATGTCCACTTAAGTAGTGATCTATAGTGATAATGAGATTCGTCTACTTGAATCTCGATATATAAACTAGCTTCAAATTTTGTTTTAGCATTTGTCCATTTGCAAGGCTTTTAAGATCTGCAGTTTCTAAAAGCTCGAGCTTGAAGATTTTAAGCGATAGAATGAAGATTATATCAATAAATTCATTTTTCTATCATGCAAAAAAAAAAAAAAAAAAAAAAAAAAAAAAAAAAAAACAATTTTAAAAAAAAAAAAAAAAAAAAAAAAAAAAAAAAAAAAAAAACCTATATTAGAGACACAAGTGATTTATAAAGCGAAAGATTTATTTTATGTGGAGCTCGATTTTATCGCTTTGTGAAATTACATCCATACCAATCAATTGGGAAAGGTACACAATGCTCTTTAGTCAAAATAATCACGCAATGAAAACTGAGTAAACATCTAAAAAGAAAATTTGCGTTAGTCAGAACAACATAAGAGAATTGATATATATACATTAAATCACACATCCTAATATGCACTTCAAGCTAGTCAATTCAAATACAGTGCCCTTTAAAGTAGGAAATCTAATCCACTAGCTAGCCCTATAATGAGCTCCGAGACTATTGAAAGATATGAAATTTGAAATGTCAATCTTTGTTGGCCAGAAAAAATATTAATATTTATAACCTGATTGTTAATTCGAGAAATTTAAGATCACTTGAGGCATTCCACTCATTGTCCCTTTCTGTTTCAATACTCAGTTTCGCCATGTGTACAAATATCAGACGTACGCATACTCCGTAGGAAAAATCTAACTTGTATATTGTACGTATTCTTCGCTCAACAAAAGTGAAAATTCCAAAACCTAAATACATGAGAATATGTATATATAATATATACACATGATGTATACCAATCGAATCCTAATGCTTTCATTTCTTATTTGTTAATAATTATGTGAGAGCTATAAGCTTCACAAAAAAATATGTGTGTGTGTACAAAAGAAGTTATTTTTCCACACACAGCTAGCTCGCGACACATTCCACAAAAGAGCATAAAATATATTAATTAGTCATCATAAGAAAGTATATGCCATCAATGGCAGCTTAATTATAAGGAATCTTATTAAATGAAACTACTAGCTAGAAGTGTATGTACATTGTAAAATACATATATTAACAAATATATAGGTACATACAAAATAAATAAATTAATAAATTTAAAAAAAAAGCTATTTCCGATGACTATTTATTGCACCAGACAAGGAAAAGGACCCAACCCAAACAGCCACTGCACAGTCCATTATCAAGTTGGCCAAATCGACAATAGTGAAGGGAGATCCCTAATAATTTTGTGGCGTTTTTTCACTTTCCCTTGTGTGTCCTTTTGTGTTGAAGGGCTTTTTATTTCTTCACTTGTCGTCTTCATTAATTTCGACTGCAACAAGTGAAGAAAATGCTTTATATAGTAACAATTTTAGTTTTTGTCAGAACTTTCATACAAAGAAACATAGAGAATGAGTTGACAGGTTATGTTATACGTAACTTATATATTATACAGTGCTCCACAGCAGCCTGCATGATTACAAGCTTTTAGATATGTCGTCGCAGGCTTGTCATGTCATTTCGACAATATTATATATATACATATAAATATATATTGTAACTTATTCCAACATTGTTTGACATGCAATGATTCTTAAATAATGAGACCTGCGTGCAGGATTTTGTCCTAATTTCATATTAATTGCTCATCATCATTAATGTTAATATATCTCTTATGTACTCATAATTTCTGTAACTTTGGAAAAAAAAAATTTAAATCACATAGAATGTTGTGTATCAAAATGCATGAAAAGAGACAAAACCAGCCTCAATGGACGACCTTATATTATGACGAACATCCATCTGAGTCTTATAATCCGTCGTGTAACAGTTACGATTTTTAGCCTCTATCGGTTTGTTGGTTCGAATTTTATAGATTTAAATTTTTTTATTTAAGTAGAAAAATCCAAACTGTATTGTTTAAATTATAGTTTGAATTGGTGTTAGGATGTGCAGTTAAAATTTTAATTTGAACAAGGAATAAAATTTGAATTTGTGTTTAGTAAGTGTGAATAGCAGAGAGAGTGAGCACCATTTTACTGT